ATGCAAAATAGGTCATTTTTGGCCATTTGCAGGCAAAAAGCATGGACTATAGGCCTTACTTTGAATACACTGAAGCGGAAGACCGGATAAAGGTGCGGTATGACTCCGTAGCTTGCTAGCCAAAGCTTAGTATTTTTGAAAAGGTGCTCGTAAGTCCAAACTTGTTATTTGCTCTTTAGGTAAATTGTAAATTATGAACTATCAAATACCATAAATATATATTTTTCATGGACTTTCGATCTTGCTGGAAGGGGAGACACCCTTGGCACTTGAATTTCTAATGTTTTGAGGGGCATTTAATACATATTTATTGCATTGATATGGATATATTTTAAACAGTAAACAAGTAAATCAAAGTTTGGAGACGTCTAAGTTGTTGCTTCCTCTCAGCCCATCCCCTATCGCGGTCCCTGTTATCTCTCATGTAGCACAATCAAAAATAGTGTCAAACACACAAGACTTTTTGAAAATTAAAAATCTTACTTTTGCAGTCGTAGAGAGTGTTGACTTTGATGATATCTATTTCACTGAATCCATTTCGTTGACCAAGTTCCCTTTTAGGATCTTTGATGGCTAACAAAGTTGGTTTGCCGTTTTTGGAAAATCCATATTTCCCATAATGCATGATGCTGTTGAAATCATAGTTCGTGTTTAGCACATCTATGCTGTTTCTCTTGTACTTATTGAAGTTGTGTTCCTTGCCTGGAAAAAAGATGTTCATTTTTGAATGTGGTGCGCTATGACATTAATCTGTAAAGATAAGCTCGTGTAAAAATAAACAAGTAATTCGAAAAACTCTATCCACTCTTTATCACACAAGGATCCTAAGCGCTAAAGAAGAAAAGAAGAAGAGGGAAACAAACAAGCAAGCAAGAGCCCCTCTCCACCGGACCTTTACTTATGGTGCTCACGCAAGGTCCGGTGGAGGGGGGTTCTTTTCTCTTTTTTAATTACTTACTTTTTGTTTACATATCTATTTTTATTTTAATAAAAGCATCTTAAAGCATAGTAATTTTTTTTTCAATAGTATAGAAACCTTTTTAGAAATTAGCTCCTTAATTATATACGTAATATAGTGTGATATAGTTTTTAATGTATATTTAACCTTTTGTACACGTTCGTATTTTGAACGATTTTTATAAGCTCTTGGACGATACGTGTTTAAATAAATTATTGATTGATATTGATTGATTGAAGTGAACTCAATCTTAAACGAACGAATGATTTATATAATAACCATGAGGGATTATTACGAGAGCGAAGTCAAATAAATTACCTTCTTCGATATTCTCCCACATAACTTCCACATGATGGTTTCTGTCAGGTCTAGACTGTTCGTGCCAGAATCCAACAGCATGGAGCATCTCATGCATGATCGTAACTCGATGATTACAACCGCTGCCCAGACTAACATCCTGGGGGCCTGTTAACCAGTACTTACGCCCTACACTTGAATAGCAACTAAAACGTTTTAAAGAAGATGTTAGAAATATACCAATAACTGACAAACCTGTTAAAAGAAGTTGTAAAATGAAGTCTACTAGATTACGTTTCACAAAGAAATAAACTTTAGTTTTACTTTTAATTGAAAAACAAACCAGGTTTATTTCTACGCACCATGTAAATCAAATAAACTATTTTATTTTGGGAAAAGCAATTTATAAAATTATGAAATTTTATAAGGTGAAATAAAGATAAAAAAAACGAAAACTGGGGGGGGGGGGGGGGGGGGGGAAGCAAGAACGTAGCAGATCAAAGCTGACACCCACTACATACCAGAATCCCTTGCACAATTTTTGTCAGTTAATTACCACATTTTTATGTGTCTTACAATTCGCATGAAGAAATACCAATTTGAATAAGAAAGAAAATTATCAAAGCCTCTTGATAGTGTGAGTCAAATGACACTATCGTGGAAACGTCCTATTGGTGTATTATAAACAGTATAACGTATTGTGTTGTCTTCTACTGGCCCTAGTGACTCTGTGTCAGTCATCATACGTCATTTTGCAAAGTTTTGAAAGATTTTTATGACAATGACAATATTGGTGTATACACAATGTTTTTAAAGATTTACCAAAGGCAGGTGTAAACATAATAGAAAATGCAGTTCTTTACCAGGTGCCTAAGTAATGTAAGTTCAGATATTCTTTGCGACAACAAATTAACCATGTTCCTCTTGTTTCGTCTACTTACCCATTTTTCTTTACGAACTTGACCCAGTTTGATTGGTTAGTATGCGGTACCCATCGCACACACGTGTGCCGTGTAAACTGCTCGATTGCAGCTTTGATGTTTACTTTGTAGTCCACTGAAACGCATGCATTCAAAAATTTATCCAAATCATTTGGCATAAAGGAAAGTCTATTTAGCGCGCCATTGACTAAAAGAAATTTGATTTTTGCGAAACAGTCTGTTCCGATGGAAATATAGTCTATGGAAATATTCCTCTCTGATCAGTTATATGTAGTATGACTGATATATATATACTGGTGTTCTTTCTGGTTTCCTACAGAAACCGTTCTAAGGTTCTATTCATTAAAAGTCCGTGGGAATTAAAATGAGTAATTTTCAAGGTACCCAATCCTCGCATTTCTGTCATTTCTTTGCGATTGTTTTTTTTCTCAACGAGACAAAACCTGTACAAATTAGTCTGTAGTCAAGGCCGGATTACAGCTAAGCATTGCTGATGCTAAACTTAATGAAAGTATAAGCGAATCATGTAAACTGAAGCGACTAAGAATATCACTAACCCCTCCCCCGTGGGATGTTAGTCCATCGTAAATCACAGGTTACCTAAGCATCAAAAAATGCACCTCTCCCTTTCAAGTCAAGTGCATACCTAAATCACTATGAATCTCGTAAGGAACCTCTTTTGTTAGCCATAACCCTTTACGTGTCCATTGAGCATTCCTCTTGACTGTCTTTTCTATTGGTCCATTCACATCACCATAGTTACGAGTGTCTACGTTATCATGGTCGGTCAGAACAATGTCGCCTTCATACAGATGTTGATCTTTTCCTGAATAAATCCTTCATTTAATCCCTCACGACATTACAAAATTTTAGGAAAAAAATCCAAAAAATCTACAGTATAGAGAATTCAGTTCAAAAAGCATTTTGTACCTGTATTAGTGACGATGATTCTGTCTGTAACAGATGTATCTGGATTGTTAAGTAGAGCCCTCTTAAGTCTGAGTCTTTCTATTTTATTTCCTTTAATTTTCAAATAAGAAAAGTGGCTAATTATGATGAATATTTGGGGTCAATGGAAGAGGATTGAGTTCTCTACATTATCAACTAAAAGTGCAGTTACGGGCAATAAAATTGTCCAACTTGTGGCTCGAACAAAATTTTGTTCGGCAAGTTCCATGATGGTAACACTCCGTCATGCGCACCAGAGTTTCTTAATTTTATGAAGCAGGGGTTCTCTCTGCACTAAACAACTAAGTAAATGTCTTCCATGCGGAATTGTAATACGAAAAAAATTTGCATTGTTGCACGATTAAGTCGAAAGCCCAGTCACTTCCGTTAAGGAAAAAATAATGCCCGAGGCTAGTTGGGCCACTGCATAAAAAAATGGGGGCAAAGTTTTTAAATTTAGTGTGAAACGTTTGATGTGGTTCTTCTTAACAAATCAAAAATAAATGCCTTCTTAACTAAAGCCTTTTACATTGGAAGATTAGTTAAAAAGGTATACCAACCTTCGTTAGTGGCGTCAACTGCCAGGAAATTCGTCGCAATCAGCAGTAGTATAATCAAAGAGAAGCGATTCATTTTCTCAAAGTTACCGCTCAGATGCATACGTTCTAGTATGTTGTTAACAACCGAGAAAGCTGGCAGTTGTGTGTCCTACATTTAATTAAAATAAACAACGATTTAAAAACAGGACTAGAATCCATTAGATGGATTGTGTATACATTGCTGATTAAAATCGGAAAGTAATTTAAAGCAATCAACAGCTCATCAAGACTCTCAACATCCCTTTGTACAAATGTCTTTAGTGAGCACTGTAACTTCCATTAACGTGCAACACGTACTCAATGAATGTTTGTTCGGTAGCATTTTTTTGTGACCTTAGCTGCTGCTAAAATTTTAATTCATATTTCAAGACGATTAGACGTGTAAACAGAGATTTAAAAGTTGATCTCAAGTAGTCCTTACAACTATTTAAATATTTGCGCAGCAGTATATCATCCAGAAAATAAAAGGTTATCTTATACATCAAATAGTCCTTGGACAATGACACTAATTTCAAAAGAAACTTTAACTTTTAATGTCCTTTTTAACAGTTTGTTTCTTTTAATCATTACATTGAACGCAATGTTAAATTTGTGAGTATTCCATAACCTTTTTTCAGCTTTGTCGATTGATAGTCTCACATTGTTTTGAGCCCGTTGAGTTTCCAACGTCGTTTTTCGTATTCTATCTCTTTAGACAAAGGAGCTGATATGTTACGTTTTAAACGACACTAACTCTGATCGAGGTATCCAAGGGTGACACTGATGAAAGTTATATATGAACGAAAATTAAAAGACGTCCATTGTTCATTCAGAATAGAACTAATTCTAGTAGCCACTTCAATATACACTTCATTCAAATCTTTTAATTATAAAGCCCGGCTAAATGTCTTGCTAGAGTGATTTGGCTTCAATTACTGGCACACTCCTCATCAGTTCTGATTCCGCTAACAACTGCCTTACTTTATTTCAGACCATACTAGTGAATACAAAGAATTTTATTTTTGGGGGAGGAAATCTTGGGACCCGTAAAGATGTTCAATTAATAAAGGGTGTCCGCCCAATAATGGGAATACTTGATAAAGGCATCTTATACTCAATGATTTTTCATGAGCTCATCGCCAACCAGGGTTTCTTATTTGTACCAAGTGCAGTAGTTTGAAACCCCCATCAACTGTACGACCGCACCCATTTCAAAGTTCTATTACTTTGAAATATTTCTCAAGTTCTATTAATCGGACTTCACTTCAAATAATTCAAAGGACTAGAACTTTGAAATAAAAACAAACATAACAAAAAGAGTATAAGATGTCGTGTCTGCTGCGCCTCGGCATTTGAAATTCCACTCGCATTTTGAAACCCCAAAAGAATACAGCAACTCGTATTTGAAACATTACATCACTGCATGTAAAATTGCATTGTCGTGCAACGCCATAAAAATCGAGCATCAGCGGTAACCTGACCAGTAACAACTCCACCATCAGATCATTCGTGGTTTAATTGATTCTTTAATAGTTAAAAGTTTTGAAACATGAATTAGTTTAAGTTACAAGACCGTTATGCAGAAGCAGTATGTAATTGTACAAGGAAAATAAGTGTCTGGTAATTATTATTGATGTATTACTGTTAACAAACAAAAAAGGAGACCATGATGTAGAGTCCTGAAGTCTTCAATCAGGTTATTCTTCACTGAAACTGAAAAAGTTTTTAAATGGTTCGTTATTTTGTAAAAAAAAAAAATTTTTTTGCGCTAACTATGGTATTCAATCAAAATACAGTATTGTAAATAATAATAATCTAATAATTACGTCTTTATAGACCTTTGCAATCCTAAAGAATATCGATAAAGACGAAACTAGTTTCCATAAAGAATTTTGATTTTTAATGCATATGATATTATTTCAAAGGTTTGTAAAAAAAAAAAATTTTTTTGCGCTAACTATGGTATTCAATCAAAATACAGTATTGTAAATAATAATAATCTAATAATTACGTCTTTATAG